GGTAAAGTACTCAAATCAAAGGAACTAAAAGACACATTGTAAAGAAGACAAAAGACAGTACACCCAGTCCTATCTCTGAGAGGGAGAGAAGAAAATTATTACATTTAATAACAGAACTCATATTTGTTAACTATAACTAGACTTCACACACAATTATCTTTAATACATCTATAGTTCAATCATACAAAAGCAACCATATCCTTTACCTTGTTCTATTAAATGTTGTTGCATTCGGTACACTGGCTGTTGAAGGATGCAGATTATGTTGTGGCACACTGTGATGCTGACATGGATATCCAGTGTTGCTGGACGGCACGGAAATATTTCTTGGGGGAACAGGGGAATCTGGCGAGCCATGTTCTTGCTGCAGTTTGGTAATGCTTAGGTGTAATCTCTTGACATCCCCAAGGATCTAAGGGCAATGAACATGTAAATAAATACACAAACAAACAAACAAACAAATAAATAAACAGTAATTTATGCCTGATCACCTATTGTATCTGTATAAAAAATAATAAATAAATTCAAAACAAAATAAGCAGTTCCATAAAGGATCTTCCAATATAAAAAATGCAAAGTGTAGCATTAAGAATGAAATACACTTATACAACTCATGCAACAACAATTACCATAATTCTTAGATCTTCCTTGAGGTCTTTTTCTGACAACAGGAGAAGAATATCCCCACTGATCTTGTGATGAGTAAATGCTCCTTTGTACTGCCCAAAGCCTTGTCCCTCAAGCCAGGCAACAACTTCCTGAACAGTCCACGTTTCTGGCTTGCCACGGACCATTTTGAGTATTGGCAGGTTCAGTGAATTGAATCTTCTTTCCTCCTCATAAAATTTTACCTGTAAAAGGTATCAGTATCTATTAGGGGGAGGGGGGGAGTTTTCAAATTATGTAAGTTATCTGATATGAAACAAATTATTTCAGGAACAAACTAAAGGGTAACAGAACACTTACATATATCAAGCTGCAGGACTTTCAGACAAAAAGTGTAACTTACCTCAAGATCCTTATGATGTTTTCATTGCAGTTGGAACTTTATCTTATTTAATTTAACCCATTCGCGCCGGGTAAAAATGAACAAAAAATGGGGAAAATGCTGTGCTCATTTTCTATATCTTTTTGTGAAATTTCTCTACACTAGATGGCTCTGCCTTACCTGATTTCACCTTTACTTGAATTGGCGGGAAAATGTATTTTTACTAGTGCTATGAATATAGATGGTTATTTTTATTATAAACATCATAATTACTCTAATGTTATAAACATTAGTAACAGCAAAATAAGATAACGAAAAATATTTTTGGGTAAACAGGTGAGACAGGCAGTACAAGTACAAGTGGAGCCATCTATGTGTGAAAACAATTAAACAAGTAAACTCACAGTGGGCACGTCATGAATACGTGACACCCGGCGCGAATGGGTTAATTTTTTAAAAATCTAAATCTACTGAATTTATATTCTAAATCCTTACTGCATGTCATGAAATGCAGGGCATATTCAGGGCCACTTTTCCCCCTGAATATGCCCTGTAAAATGGAAATGCACCTAATATGCCATCATGTGTTGTATATCTTTTCTTGTATAGTCTCATTTTTCTTACTTATGGGCATTATAAATACCTTAATAATACAAAGAGAAAAAAAAAATAAATAAATAATAATAATAATAACAATAATGTATCTAATTTTCCACAAGCAACACCTTCATAAATCTATCCACTCTTGAAATACAGTCTCAAAATATTCCTCAAATCTTTCCTATTTAACATGGGACTCTTAAAATACTGAAGGTACAAAATAAAAAACAAAAAATAATTTTGTTAAATAATGACAAACATATGAAAATTAAATAATCATAAAATAAAATAGATAACTCAACAACTTTCATCATCCTCATGATGTGTAACAAATAGCGAAAGTTGTTATTCAATGTACAGTATAATACATGAATTTTGAAAAATGAAATCCTTAGAGAAAATGCAGAAATTGTTCCAGACTAGAAGAAATACTGTAAATTTTCTACCGATAAATATAAATTACAGTAACTAAGGCTACTTACAGAAGAAGCCTTTAATGTCAGACCTCGAACACCTAACAGTCCTCTCGATCATAAACAAGCCTTAATAATGGTTATCATGTAATCTTCACCTTACAGATAAACTAAGGAAGTCAAGGCTATGTACCTCATGTCCCCTAGCCCACCGTCACAAAATAATGAAAAATCAAGATAAGCAGATAGAAAACCATTGAGAAAATGTTTAGTATAATTCAGATATAATTTCTCGACAAATTAACATACCCTTTTCCTTTTAGAAATGGGTATTATTGATTTATACAACTGTCATATATAAATATTGATTATCTTCTTGTGTATCTTAATATTAGAATCATTCTAGGGCTGTTGGTATCTTATCAAATGAAATAGTAACTAAAATTGGACATATTAAGAAATTCAAATTGTATATATACTGAATATGTAAAGTTTTCACATATGCCTCTCACACAGTACCCTGATCTCACTCTAATTTTAAAGCTGGTCAATTGCAAAATGCAAAACTTGGCAGGAACAGACGGACACAGACAGCTGAAGTAAGCGTGGTGCTGAGTAGGGTACTTTTGATTAACAGAGAGCTCTAATTAGGATGCTGTTGGAGTATCCTTCAAAGAGTTGAGACCAGGCACCACTTGGGCTGCCTTAACCTGTTGGATCTAGATACCAGGGACATCTCGTTATATATTCCTGCTGAATGGTGACAAGAGACTTCTTGGCATGAATACACAAAGCTCTTAGAGGGAGATTAGACTCAGTGGGCCTTTAGGTCGGGCCTCCTGCAATATCTTCAATGCTAATCATGGAAGGAATATACCATTTGTGAGCTGTTTCTTTAAAAGTGTCAGCTCTAGGAAGGTAATTAATTTCATATACCAAAAGATTTCCTGCCTACATTCACTGGTAGTGCATGGTATTTTACTGAAATTTGAATATTTGTATATTCAAATAATATATATATATATATATATATACATATACATACATATATATATATATATATATACATACATATATATATATATATACATACATATATATATATATATATATACATACATATATATATATATATATATATATA